AAAGTATATGCATTTTATTTTTCACTTTAGATCTTGTTTATGTTTATCAAACGCCGAATTATTTTGCACGTTCGAACGGTTTTCTTCAAATCTCTGACGCGCACATCTAATATCCATTAGAGATCTGTTGTTTACATAGGTGGTTATAGAAATATATATATATATATCTATATATATATATATACATACATATATATATATATATATATATGTATAAATAGCTTTGATTTTTAGAACTGCTATATTAAAATAATATTTGAAAATATTAACAGCAACTTTGTTGTTTTTAGTTTGAAACTTATTTTCAGTATCTGAATAATATAATTAGAATAACTAAAGGTACTATAATTACGTAGTGCTTTAAATTTTAAAATTGTAAATATTTTGCATGTATTTTGTATAATAATCTTCCTGAATTTCAAAACTTGATTCATGTAAAATAAATCTGCTATTCATGAAATCTTAATTTACTGTGACCAGGTAATGGTTTTAATCACGTTCCAATTATATTTCTATTTTTGTTAATCAATTTTTAAACTAGATTTATATGGCATTTTACCTTAAGGCAGGTGGCATGAATTTTCTAATGTACCTAATTTTTTGTTTCATATTTACTGAACATTGGATACACTAGCCTATTATTGACTATTAAGGAGTTGTCTGCAAGTAAATTATTGAATACTAGGAAGCATGCACACTTGCCATCCTCCATCTAATAGAAATTTGTAAAAATAATCCACTTGTTCAAAAATATAAATAAAATTTTTTTTTTTCATGATTCATGATTCCTTGGTAGATGTAAAATTAAATCTGGAATTCATGAAATTCTAATGGAATGGTTTCAACCACGTTCGAATTATATTTCTATTTTTGTCAATCCTTTTTTAAACTAGATGTATATGGTATTTTGTCTTATTATTAGGCCATGAATGTCATAATGTGCCTAATTTTTTTGTCTCATATATTTACTGACCACTGGATACATTAAGTAAATTTGTTGACAATTATTAAAAATTAAGCAGTTATCTACAAGTAAATTATTGAATGCTAGGAATAATGCACAGTTGGAATCCTCGATCTAATAGAAATTTGTACTTACAAAAATATATATGAAATGATTTTTTTTCTACGTTGCAAAGTTGGTTGGTTGGTTCTAGTTGGTGTATTTATTTCTATACCAAAATATCAGTTTCTCGCATCCCTAAGTTTACCCCTAAATTTATTATGATTTACTATAATTTACACACAGATAATCGCCTGAAACTATTTCAATATCTCTTGCTTCTGCATACGTAACTTCCACATATTAATAGTTATAAGTTTAGCTATCTGCATTAGATAAATACAAACTTTTGTAATCTAGCATGCAAATTCATAATAAATACTAGCTGGAAATCTCTACTTATAATATCGTGTAAAGTAAATATAGCTCGATTCGGTTTACGTAACATTTTGTTGACGTAGAAACTGAGTTCTTCAGCCGGTGGAAAGACCACTGTATTTGACGTTTCTTCAATTCCGAGAGCATTGTGGTGGATATTTGTAATTTATATATATATATATATATATATATATATATATATATAAATCATTTCTAGAAATTGAAGCTATTCGGTCCTAAATTTCAATTAAGTAGGGGGGAAGTCCCCGCGTTTTGGACACCTAAGGTTATTTATAAATAAATCGAAAAAATATTTTACGAAATGTTTATTAAATTATGACTTATGTTAGATAACAAAGTTAGAAATCAAACTAAATTAACAAAAACGCAACCTTTGCTAAAAATTAATGAATTCTATCCATCCAACTTTGATAACAAGAAATATGATTTTACAAGGTGGCACCTAGTACCGGACATTTCAAAATAACCAGTATTGAACACATAGGTAGCCATCTCCACACTCTGGAGTGTCTGCACATATGTATTTGACGTATATTCTCAGATATTGCAAAAATTCACTATTTATCCACCCTTTTGGCTGGGCCACACCGATGCTTTTCATTTTAAAATTTTCAGCAAACTTGAATAAATTTATGTATGTTATGTTCGGTTGTGATGTTCATTTTGGAGTATTAAAATCTAGCCCCAATATTACATCTTGATATAAAAATTTCATGCAGGTGGTATTTCAATTACTCTCATATTTCTATTATTGCCCTGTGCTTAAATCCCTAATTCATAAGTTCTACTTTCACCTATATAAGTAGGCTTCGAAATACCACCTGTGAAATTCTCCTTCTATTTATGTACTGTATTATCCATTAAAATTTACGGTTCTGGGAAAAAATGGGATTATTCGCGAATAATGTTTCGCATTATTATCCTTCATATCGTTGTCTTCCTACCACTTAAAGATCTTCATATACAAAGAGTTCGGTAGCGTTCTCATTTCATGAATACTTTAACGACAATAAATCAAGGATATGGAATGAAAAGCGAGGCAATTCGCAAAAGTACCAAACATTCTTGCTTATATTCTGAATAATAAATCAGGAAAGACATTCTCCTTGGGCAAGGTGGAGTAAAAATAACGGTCTAAGTATAGAAATCATAATTTTTACCAATAATATATTTTTTGTACTCAAAAATTTAAAATTTTTAAAACACATGAAGATTTGCAAGGGTAAATTGAAAACCAAATCAAGAATCATTATACGAGTATATGCAACCAAATGAAAGAAATGACTATAAAATCAGTATATCAACTTTCCAAGGATCAGAGGATCAACAACCAAGTACAACTCTTATGACTCTCGAAGAATCAGGAAATTTGAACCTAGTGCAAGGAATGGTAAGAAAGAGTAGAAATTCACCTAAATCAGTTCTCTAAGGATTAGAAGATTTGCAGCCAAGTAAAAATATCACTAGAAAGCCACCAAAAATACATATCCAATAAACAGAAAGCTTGCATCCAAGTGCAAAGAATGTTAACCCTTGCTAGCTTTCTTTTCAAATCTGTTTTTTTACATAAACTATCTACGATAAAAAATCGACTTCGGGGTATGGCATTTTTTCAATAAATTTCGTCGATCGTTTCACGCACGTGTTAAACTCCTATAAAGCCGTCCGTTGTTTTATAATTCAATAAAACTGTGCCAATGCAGTTATTGTGGTTTGCCTTTGCAATTCTTCACGCCTCATAAAAAAGTCCAGATATGGAATTGAAAAGAAAAAAGCGGTTGATTGACGAGGGCAGCAAAAAAACTTTATGAAGGACAAAGAGCAAAGATCTAATATTGTGGAAACTTATTATGATTGAAATATTGCAATAACATATTCGGCCTATATTTTAGGATACTCGGTAAGAACGTGAATTCATCACGGTGCAAAGTTTCATCAAATTTTGCAAACATACCTTCAAAAATATCTCTAGTAAAAAATAGAGCTAAGGAACTCTACTGGCTCATAGGTAGCAAATCCAAATTACCTATTGAAAGCAAGCTACTAATATATAAAACGATAATAAAGCCGATATGGACCTACGGTGTGGA